ACCTTGCCACACAAACCCAACACAGCTTCTCACCTGAATATTATGAAAAGAACCTCTTGTTTTCAGTGGCAGCAGATAAAACTGTTTTTTCAGATAACAGAAGAGAAGGAAGTAGTATATCAGCTTTAGATAATAACAAAGGAAAGTCAAAAGTATGACTTGTATATGCTTTAGAAAAGAGGCCAGAAGAAACTGTGCATGAAAAGCACTAAGTTAACATGAACCCTTGTTGTCTTGAGGAGTGTGCCTGATGACCTATACATGCTGAAGTTTGTTCAGTCTGGCCAATTATTTTTTTTCTTTTCTTTTTTTCCCTTTTTAATTCACTGTCCCACATAGTCTTAACATGATGTCACATAGTCGTAATATAATGTAATATGGCAATTCTGCAAATACTGCGTATATTTGATTGGAGAAATAAACTACATGAGAGTGCTTAAAATATATCTAGCAGGTTTATTGTCATTGTTACCTTTTATCTTTGATCATCAGATAGCATAAACTAATGTGTGAACTTAATACTTATTCCCTTTTATCCCACAGAAACAAACTGTTTCCTGAGTCTACAGTTAGGAATATTATGTATCAGATCCTGCAGGGGCTTGCATTTATTCATAAGCATGGTAGGTTATGTTTTAGCTGTAAACATTTTGAGTTAGACCAAGATAGTGTCTGTGTAAATGTTTTTAATGAGTACACTAACAGTTACATTGCTAACTTTACTAAAGGGAGTGATCAAAAGAATGGTACTATATGAGAGATTCAGATTACTGAAAATATCCATATTTTATAGTTGCCTGGTATTTTAGCCTGGAGGTTTGCTCAGTTCCTTTTCTGTAGATTTTCTTTCTCAAACTGGCAGCTGGCCACTTTCTAAAACTCAACTGATGCTAATGGACACACACATTTAGAAGCCCCCTGAGACTGAAAATAGAGGAAAAATTACTCTTTTCTCAAGGTACACACAGATAACCTGAATAAAACACTTGGTGTAAGATGCACTTAAAGTAATGAAGTCTGAGTGACAAACAGCTTTCATTGCAGGGCCTTCCAACTAATTTTTACTATAATGATAAAAGCTAAAGCTGATGTACCAGCCAGTAGTAACAAGACCCACTTAACTAATACAAAAAAAAAAAAAAAAAGACTTGTTTTAATGGTAACTTCCTTACCATGTTTTGCTGCCCTCTGCAATTCTGCCTGCTAAATACACTGTAGTGTATGTTGTTGGTCAGCTCTTGGGGTTATCAGAAGAGAATTAGTGTTAGTGGCCAAAGTCCTGGAAGTGAAAGGCTTGTAGAACCAGCGTTTCAGATCACTTGAAGAACACGTTTAATTTTGTTTTGCAAAATGCTTTCAAGCTAATGGCTTTATTCTCTATTCTAATGGGGCTTGGATACACTTCTGAAACCAAACTAGAAATTCCTCTCTGTTCTAGTGAGATATAAAATATTTAAAAACAGAAAAATAATATTATTTATTTGCAAAAAATTAAGCCAAATTATCAAATGGATCACAACCTTTCAGAATACCTTTTACTGCTATTTAACTTACTATATAGCTATAAAGAATGAACAATTTTGTGTCAAAACTGTCTTATTCACTGGCCTGCTACACACTAGGCTGCTATTGCAAATCCATAGTTAAAAAGATATGGAAATCCATGGCAAGCCTAATAGGATGGTCTTGATGGTCTTGTGGCTGGCAGTGTAGGACTGGGTATCCCAAGATTCTCTCTGCAACAGTTTTGGAAAAATCACATGAACTTTTTTCCCTTTCTTTATTTCTCTATTCTGCTCCTGTATGGCATAGAAATGTTTGTCAAATAAACTTATGTTCTTTGTCCATCTAAACTCTAAGCTTCTTTTCATATTTGAATACACAATTGATTGCTCTTTTTACAAGTTTGCCATGAAATAAAATGCCTCAAAAGCATTTTGTTTGTGCGTTGCATGTCTGTGCAGCAAAATACAGAAGTGATTGTACTAAATGCTAAAAGTAACAGTGATTGCTCCGTCTGGTACCTTCCATAAAGAGGCAGTAGTTGAAGCTGGCACCAGAACATCTTAATATCCCTAGGAAGGACATAATTTGCTGGTTGGTAAAAATCTACAGCACTATGCCTTCAATGGTGTCATGAATTAAGCTAGCAAACAAAAGTTAATATCATTATACTAGACAATGTAGGCACAGCCTATGTGAATGTGTGGGAGCATGTTCAAGGCCATGGAAAAAAACAAAGCATTTTTAAAGGTCTCTGAAAGGGAGGTACTACAGAGGGAGCTATATGTGGGAAGCAGTGGTCTCAGATGCCTACAAGAAAGAAGTATAAGGACAAGTTTTTCAGACTGAGGGTGGAACCAAATTTCAGAGACAGTAGTCAGTGATATTCTAGTCCTCTTCTCTCATTTGTATTGAAAGCCAAATGCTCATTTGTGATCAGGTTTTGCTGAATGCAGAGCGCATTAAAAAAAAATACACTGAGGTCATCTGTCTGATGGGACAATGAGTAACTGAGTGCTTGCAGGTTATTATGTTCTCAGATTTAAAAAGAAGTTTCAAAGTGCAAAAAAATTACTTCATATTTTAATTTGTATTCTGTTTAAAAGAACTTTTGAAGTAACTTTCTGATGTCTTCATTGCACAGTTTCCAAGACAATTAGAATTAAACTAACATTAAAATGGTGTATTTTTTTTTTATGTTAAAGAATTGTCACTTGAAAGGGAAATATCTGACTGAAAGCTCTGCATTGTTATAATATAGTCAACTTGTGTATGCTGTTCTTCACAGTCTGACTGAACAACCATTATACTGACTAGCTCTGTTGATCGCATAAAACTTTGAACTCTGGTGCTATTCAAGCTTCAGCAGTAAGAACTAAAGCAAAACAATGCAGGTGGAAAATAAAAGCTACAGCTGGGGGTTGCACTGCAATGCCCATCAATATTTCATTTGAATTTTAGGGTTCTTTCATAGAGACTTGAAACCTGAAAACCTCCTTTGCATGGGACCAGAACTTGTGAAAATAGCAGACTTTGGCTTAGCCCGAGAAATCCGATCTAGACCTCCTTACACTGATTATGTATCTACAAGATGGTAAGTGCTGGTATTTGCCTATATTGTGTGAAACTTCTAATCAAGCCTTTAAAGAAGTAAAATATTACATTTGTGCTGAATATAATACCACTTTTGATGCCTCCTCTTTATGAAACTTTTATTTAAGCTTGGCATAATTTGAAAAGCTTCAGTTAGTGCAAGACAGTTTACAGATGGCAGCAGCACAGGAACAAAGAGGGAGCCTGATAAGGCAGGTGGAATGTGCTGGGATTGCTGCATGTCGGGAAGGCATAAAAGAGCTTACAAGAGCTTATGTAGGTTTTAATTCTTCATTCTAGAAAAAAATGAAGTCTTACGTGTAGGATAGGAGAGGATAGGAGCTTTCTAAGGTATGTTTGCTCTTATCAGCAAAGAATGAAAAGCTGAATGGTTTTGTGTATGTCTGTTTGAATTGTGGGGTTTGTTTCTTTTTCTTTTTTTCTCTTTTACAGGTACAGGGCTCCTGAAGTCCTTCTGAGATCCACCAGCTATAGTTCTCCAATAGATATTTGGGCTGTTGGTTGTATAATGGCAGAAGTTTACACACTGAGGCCTCTCTTCCCAGGCGCCAGTGAAATTGATACTATATTCAAGATTTGCCAGGTGTTGGGGACACCAAAGAAGGTAGCTAGAGGAACATTCCACACTGCAATACTACTAGAGGTGTTCTACAATACAGAATAGCACAATAGCAGTAAGCATAATCAATTTTCACGCTTACTGCTAGTGTGTGGTATTGATCTCAGATACAGTAAACTAAATTAAAACTTATTTTCTGTGAAATAAGCATTATGTAATTATGCTGTAAAATCTGGCATTTAGAGGAGGAGAAATAGACCCCTAAACAGCAAGTAAAGTAATTAGACTGTTATTTCATTAGGTGGAAATTTCATTTTCTCTTGCATATTGTGTATAAACCTATGGTTTAAGAGGCTAGAAATTGGAATCATGGCAAGACTCTTATCTCCTGCTTCCATTTATGTCTTTGGCTTGGTTGGATGTAAAGCAAGATTTACCTCTCACCAGAGGTTTGAGGTGAAAATTTCTGGTGAAATCTTAAATATAGTCTAGAGTAAGCTGTACACACTCTATTACTGATAGGAGAGAATATACACTAGTGTACTTAGGTACTATGATATTTTACAGTTGAACTTTCTTTGTGATTGGAAATCTCACTCTTCCAGAACGACTGGCCTGAAGGCTACCAACTTTCAGCCTCCATGAATTTTCGCTGGCCTCAGTGCGTACCTAACAACCTAAAAACCCTCATACCTAATGCTGGTAGTGAAGCGGTGCAGCTCATGAGAGACATGCTGCAGTGGGACCCCAAAAAGCGGCCAACAGCTAGTCAGGTTTGGTTTTGTTTTCTTTTTCTCACATCTGCATATGACGCTTCCTTTCACTGCAAGACACCTTTTATAGACAGTCGTTTAACAGTTGGTCAGGGGTGCAGTTCTTAGAAGGGTGAAGAACAGAAGCCAAGAACAATTTGCAGAACAAAGGGGAGTAATTAAGAGAGTGTAATCAACCTTTTGCATGTAATGTGAACTGCAGTGGGTGTGTGCCCAATGATCAAATGTGTGACTGCAGTGTGTGTAAGTACACCTGAACTAAGTATAATCCAGTCATTGCATGTAGCAGCAGAATGAAGGTAGGACATATGGTGAAGGCTGTGATGTCGTTCTTTCTGGTCCACCCCTCCTGCCTTTAGCAACCTGTGTCAGTGCTCAGTCACCCTCACAGTAAAAACGTGTTTCCTGATGTTCAGAGGGAACCTCCTGTGTTTCTGTTTGTGCCCATTGCCTCGGGTCCTGTCACTGGACACCACAGAAAAGAGCCTTGCTGCATCTTCTTTCCACCTTCCCTTTGGGTATTTGCATACTGTAATAAGATTCCCCTGAAGCTTCTCTTCTCCAGGCTGAACAGTCCCAGGTCTTTTAGTCTTCCTGATATGTGAGGTGCTTCAGTCCCTTAATCCTATTTGTGGCCCTTTGCTGGACTCTCTCCATTATGTCCATCTCTGTCTTCTGCTGGGGAGCCCAGGACTGGACACAGCACTCCAGATGTGGCCTCACCAGTGCTGAGCAGAGGGGAAGGTCACTGCCCTCAACCTGCTGGCAACACTCCTGCTCATGCTGCCCAGGATACCATTAGTCTTATTTGCAGCAAGGACATATTGGTAGCTGACGTTCAACTTGGTTTCTACCAGGTCCTTTTCTGCAAAGTTGCTTTCCAGGTGGTTGACCCCAGCATGTACTGGTGCATGGGGTTGTTCCTCCCCAGGTGCAGGACTCAGTATTTCCCCTTGCTGAACTTGATGAAGTTCCTGTCAGCCCATTTCTCCAGCCTGTTGAGCTCCCTCTGGATGGCAGCACAACCTTGTGGCATATTAGCCGCTCCTTCCAGTTTTGTGTCATCAGCGAGCTTGCTGAAGGTGCACTCTGCACCACCATTGACATCTTTAATGGAGATGTTGAACAGTATTTGCCCCAATATTGACCTCTGGGGTACACCGATACCTACTGGCCTCCAACCAGACTTTGTTCCGCTGATCACCACCCTCTGGGCCTGGCCATTTGGCCAGCTTTCAGTCCACCTCACTGCCTGCTCATCCAGCCCACTGTTGCCTGGATAAGGCTAGCTTATGCAAAGCAGTTTGCAGGGCAGTCTCTGCTCAGTTGCACTGTAGCTATGTCCCTGCATCCTGTACATAAGCATAGCCCAAGTCATCAGTATTGCACATAAAATTGTCCAGTTGATGTTGTTGATGGTAGCCACTGATTTCAGATACCAGTACTGTAGTGGTAGTACCCAAATAATGACATAAGCAGGGCACCTTTTGAAAAACAGATGTGATTCTGGGTTCATATCTGACTGGATTTCAATAGGACCATAGCTGAAACTTTACGATTATATCAGACCTTCAGTAAAAATTGTAATGAAAAGCTTTAAAGCTAATTAAAGCATTTAAGAAGTAAAATAGATAAAGAACTCTCAAAGGTAATGAAAAGCAAAAAATACTTACTATAACTTGGTATTAAGAGCCATTAACAAATGTTTTACAGTAAAGTACAAATATTGTGAGGAATCTGAACTTTTAGAAGTTTTTTGCAGTGAGAGGTCTTTTGGGAAGGGAAGGTGAGTATACTTGAAACAGCAAGTTGGACAGAGATGAATTGCCTTTACTGACAACTCCTTAATTACTTGTAAGGCAGGGTAAAGCTATTTTTACCAACGTGTCTTCCAAAAAAGAGAGGGGCTGATTTTCATAAGCATTCTATTTCTTTCACTTGATTCAGTCTTGGAACTGGAGAATGGAAGAGATGGGACGTCTCTGGGGTCATCCAGGTCTTGATGGCTGAGTCTGTGATGACACATGTACGTGTGTGTGCACATGCACGTGCATACACACGTGTGAAGAGAGAGCATATAGTAAGACATGCCTCTAGGTGCCAGATACCTGGTTAAGTACCTTACTTCTGCACAACCTTTTCGTTTTTGTGCAAGTCCACAGAGGATTTGATAACTTGGTATCTGTTGAAACTTTACTATTGTAACATTATTCTGAAGTGGATTGTGCTCACTAAAATCTAGTATTGAGACATGGGTCTTCTGTTTCTTTTTTCTGTTTCCACCCCAGAAAAAAGGAAATTAAATTTGTACCACAACGTAGGGCTAGGGTAAGTTAAAAACTTAGGTTTCCTAAGTTGGATCCTAACATCTTCATTATGTTTTAGGCACTTCGATATCCGTACTTCCGGGTTGGGCATGCCCTGGGTGTTCAGGAACTGGGAAAACAGAAGGAACTGCATAATAAATCGTCTCTGCATATTAAGCCTGTCCCTCCAGCACAACCCCCTCCGAAACCTCACGCCCGCATTTCGTCAAGGCCTTTTCAACAGAGCCAGTCTTCTCAGCACTTGGTGTACCCATATAAGACAGACAACTCTGGGGCTGAGCACAGTAACTATTTACAGGAGGACAAGGCTAACCAGGTTCTTCTGCCTGCAATTCACAATAAGGTTCCTCAGCAGGTAAAGATCCATCTACCATAAGATACGCTTCCTGATACACTGCCTGATTTTTTCTTAATTGTGTTTCTTTTTCTTGTTGTCTTTAAAGGATCTTATACTTTACTAAAAGGACAGGAAATGGGAATAAAGAATAGTTATAACTTTTTGCTATAAACTGGAAGTTACTCTGTTGAAATCTAAATCCAATTGCTATAAAATAAGCAAGTTGATTTCTCATTTTAAAGCCATTTTATGCTTCCCTTTAAGCACCACTTAAAGGATGATACTGTGATTTCATGTGAGTAAAAAGGATGTACAGTGGTCAGAATATTAATGGGATTGATGCCAGGCAGAAAAGTATTAAGCTAAATAGTATGGAAATGAGAGGGAGGGGGGCTATTTCCTTCATCCATTTAAGACATCAAAGTTATGTGACTGAGAATAATAGTCCCTTTGGGCTTCTATACTGGCCATGGAAAATATCAAATTTTTCTTCAATGTCCAAGTGGAGACTAGTGATGAGTGGTGTTTCTCAGGGGTTGGTATTGGGACCAGTGCTGTTTAACATCTTTGTCAGCGACATGGATAATGGGATTGAGTGCACCCTCAGCAAGTTTACCAACGACACCAAGCTGTGTGGTGTGGTCAACACGCTGGAGGGAAGGGATGCCATCCAGAGGGACCTTGACAGGCTTGAAAGGTGGGTCCGTGCGAACTGCATGAAGTTCAACAAGGCCAAGTGCAAGGCCCTGCACATGGGCTGGGGCAATCCCCAGCACGACTACAGGCTGAGCAGAGAATGGACTG